GAGATCCGCACAGGCAGCGCTGTCCTTGGAGCCGTGCCCGGGGCCTGGCAGCCTGGCCAAGCCCTGCTGGCCCAGCGCGTCTCCCCAGCCCCGCAGCTGCCTGCGCGGACCTTCCCTGTTTCCCTCCCCAGCGCTTGCCTTCCCTCTGATGGCTGGGGCTGGGGGAAGCGCTTCTGGGAGATGCTCAGGGGAATACAGGCCTGGCAGCGCTGGGTGCCTGCTCCCGATGTGGGACAGAAGGGAGTTGCCTTCCCTGGTACCGGCACATTTGGGTAGACTGGTAGAACTACACGACAGTTATTACCAAAACATCAGGAACTTTGTACACAGCCAGCCCTAAATCTGCCCATCTGAAGCATGGCGTTGGAAGGTGGGCTTTACACTGAGCTATGGTAGCCAAGAAAACCATCCTTGCAACTTAACTATTGCCAAAAAACCAGCTCGGGATGGGGGTTTCCCGCTGCTGCAGTGCAAGAGGAGCTGCAGCGAGCAGCAACGCTCCTGCCCGCAGGCTGTTACGTCAGCCCTGACAGGCACGCAGGTGGATTAGTCACACGCGCGCCGCGTTGGAAATGTGCACATGTCAGGACTCTGAACAAGGAAGGACAGCTTTGCCCGGAGGGAGGCACGGGAGGGTGTGAATCACGGCAGGCCTTGCAGGAGCAGGGCGCTCCCAGGCCACAGCTGCTGTTTCCCCCAGAGCAGCTCCAGCCCCAGCCCCACAAACTGGCCCTTATGACTATCCAGGGGTGCTCCCAAACAGGACAGACACACCTGCGGGCTCAGCTTGGTGCTGCCAAGCTGCAGGATGGTGTGACGAGTCAGCCAGCTGCAGGTAAGTATTCCCAGCCAGCAGTGGAAGCCTCTGGAGCGCCTTTGTGTCTGTTCTTCTCCTGATTTTTCACCCTGTAATTTTGTGCTTTCATTAACACTTGGCATCCCCCACCCTTCCGAGAGTTCCACGTGCCACAGGCAGCAGACAGGCCTGCATGCCAACAGGTTGAGGAGAAGGGAAAAGGGAGAAGCTCCAGCTTTGTGCCTCATCTCCACACAGACAGGGGTTTAACCCCCCCTGGCAGGCAAACCATGGGCTGCCCTGTGACAGAAACAGCCTGCCCTGCTGTGCCCAAGGAGGGGGCTGTCGCAAAGGGATCACAGGTGGATCCCTGCCACATCTCTTTAGAAAACAGGGGGATAACGGTACAGGGGACAGCGAGCCAGGGTGCTGCCCCATACCTCGCAGCTTAGCCAGGAGTCTGGCTTGGATCTGCTGGGGGAGGCTGTGGCTCGTTAGGTTAACAGGAGGAAGTTGCTATGAAAGACACTGGTAGGGTTTAGAATCACGGCGGGCCTGGCAGGAGCAGGGCGCTCCCAGGCCACAGCTGCTGTTTCCCCCAGAGCAGCTCCAGCCCCAGCCCCACAAACTGGCCCTTATGACTATCCAGGGGTGCTCCCAAACAGGACAGACACACCTGCGGGCTCAGCTTGGTGCTGCCAAGCTGCAGGATGGTGTGACGAGTCAGCCAGCTGCAGGTAAGTATTCCCAGCCAGCAGTGGAAGCCTCCGGAGCGCCTTTGTGTCTGTTCTTCTCCTGATTTTTCACCCTGTAATTTTGTGCTTTCATTAACACTTGGCATCCCCCACCCTTCCGAGTGTTCCACGTGCCACAGGCAGCAGACAGGCCTGCATGCCAACAGGTTGAGGAGAAGGGAAAAGGGAGAAGCTCCAGCTTTGTGCCTCATCTCCACACAGACAGGGGTTTAACCCCCCCTGGCAGGCAAACCATGGGCTGCCCTGTGACAGAAACAGCCTGCCCTGCTGTGCCCAAGGAGGGGGCTGTCGCAAAGGGATCACAGGTGGATCCCTGCCACATCTCTTTAGAAAACAGGGGGATAACGGTACAGGGGACAGCGAGCCAGGGTGCTGCCCCATACCTCGCAGCTTAGCCAGGAGTCTGGCTTGGATCTGCTGGGGGAGGCTGTGGCTCGTTAGGTTAACAGGAGGAAGTTGCTATGAAAGACACTGGTAGGGTTTAGAAGACCCAAGGGATTTAACATGAACCTCTAGCAGAGGAAAATGGGCTTGTTAACCACAGTGTGGATTGTACCGAGATGAAAGTGGATGGGAGGGTGGGTCTGACAGCAAGCGGCTTTGCTTCATGTCCCTGGTGCGAGTGCCCGCCGCAGAGCCCTCTGGCAGCTCTCCCGGTGGCTCAGCGCTGAGCCCTGCTGACCCAGCGCCGCTCAACTCCCCGGTCAGGTCCTGTCACCCCAGGAGCCAGAATGACACAAGAGCAGCCCAACTGGTTACGGGAGTGAGGCGGGTCCTGAAAAACACTGAGAAGCGGCTTCATGGCACCAGTGGGAAGCGAGTCAGCACCTTTGCCATGAGGGTATCTGCAGCCTCTCGCAGTGATGGAGCAAAGACATGGCTCAGCGGCAGCATGGATCCGTGGCTGTGTGGGCATCTGACTGTCATCCTTGCATGTCCCACCCACAGCTGTTTTAACCCAGGGGCGGGAGGGTGCGGCAGAGAGGCAGGGCAATGTGAGTTTCGGCTGCAGCTGCCTCCCTCCCTGCCTCCTGCCAGGACGTGACCCCCCACGGGGGGCACGTAGGACTCATCTCCGTCATGGGTGCTACACAAGTTTTGGCACCTTCCCTTTAAGTGAGAGCAGTGCTGGTAGATGCCAGGCAAGGCGTACACCTGCACACCCGGCGTCCTGCCTCCAACCAGAGGATCCACCCATGGCCACCTCACCTAGCAGGTAGAGAGAGCTTCCCCATCCCACCAACACAGCCTCAGCCACAAACTGCGCGTTGGGGATGGCCGGGACCAGAGCAGTAGAAAAATCCACCCACAAAGCACTGGAGATTGAAACAACTGCTTAGCTGTCTGCTAGAAGAGCTGGTAAACATTTATTAACCCACTGCTCAGTATTTGCAGTCAGAGCACTTGCCTTGGTGCTGTCAGGGGATGCTTTGCTCAGGGCCATACAACAGCTTACAGCTGGGACCATCTCCATCATCAGCCTCTGTCGAGCTCCCAGGACAGTAATTCCTCCAGCCTCCTCCCCAGGAGCTTTTCCCCAAGAGGAGGGAGAAATGCTATGAAGCCACACTTGCTCAGCCCATGCAGCTGTTCTCAAACGGCACAGCTCCTGCACGCTACAGTCCCGTTACCAGCTGAGGGTTACCCACATACAGCTTAGACCAGATACAGTTAAAGAGCTGCCATGGAATCACAGAATCATAGAATCAGGTTGGAAAAGACCTTTAAGGTCATCAAGTCCAACCATACCTGTCCACCATTAAACCATGTCCCTAAGCACCTCACCTACCTATGTTTTAAATACCTCCAGAGATGGGGACTCGAACTCTTCCCGGGGCAGCCCATTCCAATGACAACCCTTTCGAGAGAAGAAACTTTTCCTAATATCTAATCTAAACCTCCCCTGGTGCAACTTGGGGCCATTTCCTCTCATCCTTCTCCTTTCAGGCAGTTGCGGAGGGTGATAAGGTCTCCCCTCAGCCTCCTCTTCTCCAGGCTAAACAACCCCAGTTCCCTCAGCTGCTCCTCATCAGACTTGTGCTCCAGACCCCTCACCAGCTTCACTGCCCTTCTCCGGACATGCTCCAGCATCTCAATGTCCTTGTGGTGAGGGGCCCAAAACTGAACACCATATTGGAGGTGCGGCCTCACCAATGCTGAGTACTGGGGAAGGATGACTTCCCTGGTCCTGCTGGTCACATACGGAGGACGGATCACTTCAGGGGAACCATGACAGTGGCAGGATCCCAGAAAAAAAGACCCTTCAAGTCAGTCCCCACCAGGTACGAGCGTCCACCTAAAGAGCCTGTTGCCATCAGCCAGACAGAAGTCTTGATTCATCAACTCTGATGTACCCGTATACTGGCACTTGCTAAGCTTGTTTCTCAACCACTGATAAGATGAGCAGCATAATGGTAAAAAAAATATTACAGATTACCCAGTCTCCCAACTAGAACTCATAATTAAGCCAAAGCCCAATGTAATGTAGGGTTACCTGGGAGCAAATATTTGCATGGGATTCACAAAAAGTGCTGCGCGTTTGCAGCAGGGTCTTGGCTTTCTCTTGGCCAAATTTCTCTTGGGATGAAGCGAGCTGGAGCAGTTCCCACGGAGGGTGAGCCCAGCCGTGGGGCTGAATTCGAGCCACCGCATCATCCGATGGTGCATGTACCTGTGTCCCCTGGGCAGGGAGGACTCTCCATGCCTGCAGTGTCAACGTGGAGGTGCAGAAGACCGTGGGCATGCCAAGCACAACGGGTCACGTCGGCAGCAGTATGAGCACTGCTCTGCTGACAGGGAATAAAAGCTCAGCATGCTGGGCAGGGAGAGCTGGAGGTGGCCACCTGAGGGACACCTCGGTGCGGTGTTTCTGAGCAGGAGGAAAGAAAAGGCACCCTGTTGAGATTTGGGCACTGAGGCTGTGGAACAACGTTTCACTTCTAGAGAGGCACCTGACCTTAGGTTACACCCCAGGCCTTCATGTTTCGGCTCTTTCCAGCATTTGGTTGCTGCGTGTGCTAAGCCTTCCCTCCCGTTCATCCCTATCTGCTCTTTACAAAGGTCTCTTGTTTTCCCAAGTGGGTTTTTTTTTTCATGCGTGATTTAATTCGCACAAACTCCTTCCTCTACTGACTATTGATCTTGGCTCCTTACTGGTTAAAATAAAGTAAATCTTTCGTAAGCAGGTTCTGACAACGCAACTTTTGTTCCTTCCAGACACAATTTCCTGTTTAATTTCCTGACCATTTCTTATTTAGTAAAGGAAAAGCTGTAAATTGCAAGATTGCTTCAGAGAGCTTCCTCTGACTTTAGATGAACCGTTAACCACTTGCAGGAGAGAATCCAGCAAACCAGTGTAAAACTTTTTAAAAATCCTGAATTTCTTTCTTTTGCAGCTCACACAGAGAGGGAACAAGCTGTGCAAAAAATGGGGTTGGAATCGTTTTCCTTGCAAAACCAAACAGAAGCAATTCTGCCTCCGGCCAAGCTGATAATTGCTCTTTCGTCACTCAGTAAAGTCTCTCTGAGATACGGGATTTTGGGGGAGGGTTGCTGCAGGGCTCACCACTGGCTGAGGCAGCGGAGTTGGTGGAGTTTGCACCAGCGATTCCGCTCCTGCCGTGCCTCTGCTGGGCTGGGGCTGCCGCGCTGTCCTGCAGGGAGGGCCACGTGTCTGCAGTCCCAAATGCGGGTCCTGGACATCCCCCGCCCTGCACAGCCACCGATCCCCTCTCCCGCACCCCTCGGTCCTTTGCCTCAGTTAAAACCCAGGGGATGCCGTGACCGTGGTCACAGTGACCGGCTGAGCAAAATGCAGATACCCGTGGGCCAGGTCACCGAAACGCTTGCTCTGCGCAGAGCCTCCTTAGGTTTACCTAACGCATGCCGGCGCGGCGGTGTGCGACGGCGCCGGGGGGGGGCAGGCAGCTCTTGGCAGGCAGGGACGATGGCACACAGTGACGCTTGGCAGGGGCTGCGTGACCCAGCGTGGGAGAGTGACTGCTCTGATCTCCAGCCAGCCGGCCCCAATCCTGCCTGAAAGAGCCTTGAAATCTGGCAGGGGTTAGGCGGTGGTGTGGTCCCATGGCTCCCAAAAGCACTGACGGCCGTGTGGCTGGGGCCTCCTGCAGCAGGCTCAGACCCCTTGTGCGGCTCTCGGGGAGCACAGCCGGGTCTGGAGAGAGATGTCCCTCTCAGTGGCTCAAAACCTTAAAATCAAAACTTTATCTAAGATGAAGAAAATGGTTTGAAATGGGTATTCCTCTTTTGAAAATGTTTGTATTTGATTTGTTCATTCCATGGGCTTCGTTTGAATTTTAACTTTGGCTAGGAACAGGAGATGAAACGATTGCTCCAGTGGGGATGCCCAGGAGGGGCACGGCTGGAAGCCGCAGCATCTCCCAGCCCTGCCCCCAGTCCACAGAGCCCCCGCACAACAGAAAACACCCTTGCCTACAGCCAGTGCTTGGGAACGGATGGAAAACGGCTTCCAGGAGAAGGGACCCGCCTTCTCCTAGCCCAGCTGGCAGGCGTGCAAGGCACGACCTTCAGCAGCATCTCGGCTCGATGCAGAGGCCACTGCCCACTGCCAGCTGGGGAAGACAACACCGAGCGTGGTGCAGGGTCAGCAGCCAATGAGCTGCTCTTGCTGGTGCAGGGGTGCAGCTGATGGAGTGGGGAAAGTCCAAATGGCCACTGGCAGCTGAGACACAAAGAATCAAAATTACCTCTTGACCCCCCTGGGAAAAGAAAAAACAAATCTTGTTGCAGAAACTGAGAAACTACAAAACTTTGTGACAGAGGTGTAAAGCTTTTTTTGGGCTTTATTTCTGGGAGGACAGCATGGGCTGAAGCTGCCCTTAAGCACCGAAGGCAAGCGGAAGGGCTGGGAAGGCACCCAGTGCAACACGGCGCTGGGTTTCCTCCACAGCCCCGTGCAAATCAAGGCCAAAGCGGGCAACATCGCAGGTGCGTGATCTGGCAGGACAGCACGTTTGTGGCTCGCTCAACACAAAACCAAATCCAAATCCCATCCTGCCCGGGGCTAGGAGGGCGTCTGGGGCCCTGGGGCAGCAGTGCCAGGAGCGTGCCAGGAAGGCGGCACAGCCTGTGCAGGAGCAGCAGCACCTCCGCCAGATGCAAGCAGCAGGGGGTGAGGGACAAGAAGGGCTGGCTGGGCACGCACAGGGGATGCCACGGGCTCAGCTGCTTCCCTTCCCCTTTTGCCGAGCACTAAAATAATCCAAATTCCCACCTGGCTCCATCCCCTCCCTGGCAGATATTTAAAAATAGGGAGGTGGATGAGGGGGTGGCCAGTAGCAGGGAGCAGTGCTCCTCGGGGACCCACGTGCTCACAGGGGAACGTGGGGAATGTGCACGTCCTCCAGGGCTGGGCCCAGGGGACCCTCCTCCCTGTGTTTTGGGCTAGGACAAGCTCATATTGCAGGGAGACACACTGCACATGTAAAACACACCTCAGCTCCGACATTGACATCATGCCGCTCTGCCCAAGCGCGCAGGCTCCTGCTCGGAGGCTCCACGCAGATGTTCACGGGAAAAGGGCAGGAAAGGCTCCCGGGGTGAATATCTCCTCCAAAACTGCTGTGTTTCCAGGCTGAGGCCATGCTGTGTTTGACCAAATGCTTCTTTACTCATCCAGTGGGAAGGTGAGCACAGAGGAGGATCCTTTCACAATGCACCACGCTAAAGCAGTGATTTACAAATTTATTCAATCTGCACATGCCAAGTTTTTCCCCGGCCAGCTTGTCTGCATGTGCCGTTTCATCCAGTGCCCCCCTCTCCATCTATTTCTGGCTTGCTTTGCACCTGCATAGCTATGGAACGAACATATCCCCTGGGCAGACGGTAAAATCCTCATTATGAAACACGGGGTCCCTTCGTGCGTCTCGGTCCGCATCCCCTGCAAGGGGAGGGAAGTGGCTGCTGGACGAGGCTCGGGGCGCTGGAGAGCTGGCACGTGGCTCCAGCTGCGGCTCCAGCAGCCACCGCCCTGGTTACCAGCTCTCCCCAGCGGTACGTTGCCTTCGCCCTCTGGGGAGTTGTTTATTCAGAGCATTTTGCCACCTGTAGCTCTTGATATCTTTTCACCGGTTGTGGCAGAGCTGGGTCAAGCGCTTCGCATCCCATCCCTATGCTTCAAATTTGGGGCTAAACAAAGGGGAACAGACTGAGAAACTCCTCAGCAAAAGCTTCATTCAGCTCTGCCCTGCTCTGCCAGGTCTTGGGGGCACCCACAGAAATTGAACACCCTGCTCTCTGCCAAATTTTGGACATTTTTCACCTTCCCCTTTCCCAGGCTTACGCCCCACAGGCAGTTTCATTTTTTACCCCCAGGGTCTGGTTTCCTCCCTGTGTCTCTGCATTAGGGATTGAGGGCTGAACTTACCTGGGCAGCTGAAGTTTGGACTTGTCCCACCTTGGAGCACCCTGCAGCTGGCAGAGCGCATCACTGACATCATTTTTGGCTGCAGTTTCCTCGGGGTGTTTTGGTTTTTTTAAAGCAGACTAAAACCCAAAAACATCTTCACTGGGTGACAGCTTGACCTTCATTGCATTCCCCTACAAAACGGGACCCTACTGACCCACTGCCCTGGAGCTGTCCGGGGACCCCAGACGGGCCAGCTTGTGCCTCTCTCTGCAGCCCAGCGTGGGCAGTGGGGAGGGCGTTTTGCTGTGGGGCTTCACTGATCTGTGCTGATCACCAGGGAATGCCAGGACCAAAGGAGCTCGGCTTCACAGCCACCCCAGAGGCCATGTCTTCCACAGGTCGTATCCCTGCAAGCATGTACCACATTGTATCTCTCCTACCCCAGCTCCTCATCCCAGCTCCACAGCAGCTTTCTCATCCTTCACCCCCTGCAATGGGTTCAGCAAATCCCAAACCTCACTGTGGCAGATGCTGGTCCAGCCTGGGCTCCTCAGACCTGATCCTAATTTCCTGGACCACTCTCCCCAGCCCTGAGCAGCACGACTGGGTTTCTCCAGCAGCCTCCGTACCTCCTTGTCTCAGCTCGTTGCCTGGGAGGGCGCTAGTTTCCCCCTTCTCTGCCTCCTTTCCACCACCCTTGTTCTCCCCTGCAAGCCCCCATGTCTTGCCCAGACTGTCCCCCATGCCCCTAGGATGCTGCCACAAGGGAAAATGGTGACTCACCAGCATCTGGATCCTTCTTGTCCATTCACCCAGGAACGCCTCCTTGGGGTCTCCAGCAAGGTCCCAGCTTGCACCCTGGGGCAGGTTCCTCTCCGTAGGGTGGGTTGGGTGATGCCATGCAGAGAGGGACTGAGAGCAGCGCAGCCCTTCCTCCCAGCTGTGGCAGAGGCAGCAGCCTCCGCTGTACTTTGGAAATAACCTGCCTGGGACAGGGAGCTCTGACATCCCCACCAGGAGCTCCTGGTGCTCCCATGCTGTCCAGCCTTGGGATGGAGACCTGTGGGGATCGTGGCATGCTCCCTGCCCTGGCTGCTCCACACGTGGCCGGGACCAGTGGGGCATCCTCTGAGCCCATATGGGGCAGAGCATCCCTCAGCCCAGCTTGCAGGGAGGCTTCCTGGGTGGTATTAGATGCTGCAGATGGCAGGAGGGCTCAGGGGTCTGGCCAGCTCCAGATGGGTCTGGCCAGCCAGGCCGTGGGCAGGAGCTATGCCTGAGGGGGCCCAGGAGCATCCCCACACAGGGGATGCTGCTGCCAGCTCACACGCTGCCAGGGGCCCAGGTCCCTCTGGAACCGGGATGTGGACCTGGGTCCAAGAAACTCAACCTGTGCGCAGGGAAGGGAGATGCTCGGGACAGCTGGAGCAGCACTGGACTCCCCCGTGCCTGGGCACACTGCTGTGGGAGACCCTGGGACAACCAGCCCCGTGTGCCACAGCGTCCCCCCACAGGGTGCAGCCCCGCTGGGCTGGTGTTGTCCCACTCTTTGCTGAGAACTGGAGCCAAAAAAAACCTTAAAGAGGTGATTGCAGGCGAGCAGACACAGCCCATGTTACGGGGCCATTTAAGGCAGGAGACAGTCTCTGGGCATGGAAAAATTCAGCAGCTGGAGCTGCGCCAACCTCCCCCCCTGAAAAACATTCCTGCGGAGGGAGGGTTCAGCTCCAGGGTCAAAGGAGAGGCTGGGGTATCCTTTGGCAGAGAAATGAAGCCCAAGTGTCCATAGCTGCGCTCATAGGCAGCCTCACCTGTCCTGCTGCCCCAGGCCCACAGAGGGACCCAACTCCACCGCAGCAACCCCCACAAGCCTCGCAGGCACCGCTTGCTGCAAAGGGAGGGCGAGAAGGACGGAGCCTGCACTGCGAGGCAGCCTGCAAGGCTGCTGGTGCCATCCGGACTTGCAGCTGGAGCAGGCCTGTCCCCCATGGGGTGACACAGGTGGGATGCAGGGGGAGAGCCCCGGCCGAGGGATGTGGGGAGGGGGAGGTGCAGGATCTGCCCTTGTCCATGCAGCCTCGGGTAAGCTCACACCCTAGGCAGGGTGTGCTGTTTAGTTATTTTGAAGCCTCCTTCTTTGCAGCACAGGTGATGGTTCTCCCTGAGGAGAAGCAGATTCAGCTGGAGGCAGCCCCAAAGGGCTCACCTGTGCTGGCAGGAGGGGGGTGCAGTGTCCCCCATGCTTCATAATTACATCTCTCCAGCAGAGACCTAGATCAGACACAGCTATTTCAGTCCCAGCCCATCACCTTTTCCAGCCTTCCTTCCAAACAGCTTTAGCAGCTTATTCAAACATTCGGAGCCCGGCAGAAACTAAACAAATCTACAGTGGGGTCCCTTTGCAAAGGGCAAGGGACAGCCAAGCCAAGAGGGCCTCCACCTGTATAGGGTCTGTAGTGCCATGGGTGCAGCTCCTCATTCCTGCATTTCAGCAGAGGGACTCACAGCACTCGCCATTTTACAGCTGCTCTGGAGGCCAGTGGCACTCGGGGACACCTAATCATGATGTGAGGGAGGTGTTGTTGCATGGAATCCCGAGCGGGAATTAGGATGCTCACAAAAGGCTTTTGCATCCTTGACCTTAGCTCATCCCCGCCAAGAGAGCCCCGATGGCCACGTAGCCCCAGGAGGGCTCAGGGGTGACTCCACGGCGTATGTTCCTCTCTGGCCGGCAGGGACAGATGGTGACGGTGACGTGGCTGGTCCCGTGACAGGTCCTGTGGCGGGTCCTGCTAGGGCTGCTGTGCAGGCAGGTGAGTCACTCCCCTGCAGGCAAAGTCTGGGCCACCTGGGCAGGGCTGAGCTGCCCTTTGGACTGTGGGCAATACGCTCACGCCATGGCAGAGCACACGCCGTCCCCTCTGTGCGGATGCAGCGCCAGCTGCTTCCCACTGGAGCCCATTGGGGTCTCCCAAGCACTGAGTGGGCACCAGGCCCCGTGGGTCTCGGTGCTGGGTTGGTGCTGCCAAGGGTGTGGAGCCAGCGCCGGGGTGATCCCCGTGGCTGGGCACCCCGTGGGGGGCTACAGCTGCTGTGCTGGCATCTCCCAAAGGGGCTTCGCTCTGCTTCTGCCCTGGCTGGCGTCACCTGGCCTGGCTTTGGGGGTG